TTTTACAAAGGACACAAGGGGCAGCTGTTTTGCACAGAGACTGGTTCGTGATTGGAATGAACTGCCAGAGGAAGTGATGGATGCAGGCACAGTTACAAAATTTTAAAGACATTATTTTCTAGCCTTTTGGCCTTATCTACTTTATTAAACACTGTGATTCATGCTGGGGGACTTCCTTGTATTTTACGGAATGATCACCCCAACACTGTTTTTGATCTACCTCACTGCAGTGCTTCACCTCACTGCCGACAAGCTCCCCACTGGAGTGGAGCTAACCTAAAGAACCAATGGGAATTATTCAATCTCATGTCAAAACCAAAGCCACCCCAATCAGTGTCATTGATCTGAAGTGCACGGATGATGTTTCCACATGTGCAGACTCAGAGGATCAACTATAGACCATCATCAGCACCTTTATGGAGACATATGAGATCATGGGTCTCACCCTGAACATCTAGACCACGAAGGTCCTCCTCCAACCCGGCTGGTGCAGTGAAAGCGGAGAAAGATGCTCCGTAATGCTTCCTGATTGATGGTGTCAATGACATTTTTAAGGTTGAAGAAGGCCATTTACAGGCGTAAGTTCTTTTCTCTGCATTTCTCCTGTAGCTGGCACACTGTGAAAATCCATTGTGCCCCTCCATGACAGGAAACTGCACTCTGATTCTGAAAGGAGTTCTCAGCCACAGGGAGGACACAGTTGAGGAGAACCTTGATGGGGGGCATAGATAAGGTGAATAGCAAGGGTCTTTGTGATCCTGGGCATTAATGGTAACAGTTTTTGGGGAAATGTCACAGCTGAGCTGGAACCTATTCACATATAAACCCCTCTGGTATGGATCATGGGATACCAGCAATCAAATTTACAATGAAGTTGTCTATGTGTTGAATCTCAGGAGATGGAAGAGATGCTAAATGAATATTTCGCAGCAGTTTTTACTGTGGAGCAGGAAATGGAGGCTAGACAACTCAGGAAAACAAATATTCATCTTTTGATAAGAGTTCATATTACAGAAGAGGGAGTGCTGGAGGTCTTAGAAAACATAAAGGTGGATAAATCTCCTGTATCCCAGGACACAGTAGGAAGTTAGGGAAAAAATTGCGGGGCCCTTGGTACTGCTCCAGCACCTTGAGGTGTCTGCTATATACAGTCCACGTCTCAAAGCCATTTTGGAGGAGGGTGGGAACCATCATAGCTCTGTATATTGTGAGCTTTGTGTCAGATCTGATGTTGTCCTGAAACACCCTTTTCCTCAGGTGGCTGAAGGCTGCACTAGCATACTGGAGGCATTGCTAGATCTCTTCATCAGTAACTGCTTTGGTTGACAGGACACTCCCGAGCTATTGGAAGTGGACAACATTCTCTAAGGTCTCCCATGGACCTTGATGATCGGGATTTGCTCCGCAATGCCAGGCCGGGTTGGAGAAGGACCTTCGTGGTCTAGATGTTCAGGGTGAGACCCACGATCTCATATGTCTCCATAAAGGTGCTGATGATGGTCTATAGTTGATCCTCTGAGTCTGCACATGTGGAAACATCATCCGTGCACTTCAGATCAATGACACTGATTGGGGTGGCTTTGGTTTTGACATGAGATTGAATAATTCCCATTGGCTCTTTAGGTTAGCTCCATTCTAGTGGGGAGCTTGTCGGCAGTGAGGTGAAGCACTGCAGCGAGGTAGATCAAAAACAGTGTTGGGGTGATCATGCAGCCCTGCATGAAACCCATCCAAATGGGGAATGGGTCGAGTGGTGGAGCCATGTGCCATTACCATGACTTCCATGCAATCATAGAGCAGGCAAAAGATGGTGCAGTGAAAGCGGAGAAAGATGCTCCGTAATGCTTCCTGATTGATGGTGTCAATGACATTTTTAAGGTTGAAGAAGGCCATTTACAGGCGTAAGTTCTTTTCTCTGCATTTCTCCTGTAGCTGGCACACTGTGAAAATCCATTGTGCTCCTCCATGACAGGAAACTGCACTCTGATTCTGAAAGGAGTTCTCAGCCACAGGGAGGACACAGTTGAGGAGGACCTTGATGGGTGGCATAGATAAGGTGAATAGCAAGGGTCTTTGCACTAGGGTGGGGGAGTTCAAAACCATGGGACAAATTTTAAGGTGAGAGGAGAAAGTTTTACATATGACAAGAGGGGCAGCTCTTTTACACAGAGACTGGTTCGTGAGTGGAATGAACTGCCAGAGGAAGTGATGGATGCAGGCACAGTTACAACATTTCAAAGACATTTGGATAAGTACGTGAATAGAAAAGGTTTGGAGAGATATGGGCCAAACGCAGGCAAGTCGGACAGTTTAGTTTGGGAGCACAGTCAGTGTGGACTAGTTGGACTGGCCTGCTGTGTTCATCCAGCCCTGCACCTTGTTGAGTTGGACTGGAGTGTCTGTTTCTGTTCTCTATGGCTCTAAATTTGAGAATCTACATAAAGAAAGGGCGTTGAAGCTAATAATAACATTCAGAACACTGGTACTTTACTTAATAGTGTTTCCTTTGTTAATCATATTCAGACTTGTCAGTTATCTCCTCTAATTTTGTTGACCTACTTCAATACATTGCCTTTCTTCTCCTGTCCCTTTTAACTGTCTATTTCCCATCTAAAACAAATATAGTTCTCATACAGAGCTCATTGAATTGGAACCTCATATCAGTTTGTTGTCTTTGTTTGAACTCTAACCAATCCAACATTCCACATGTACTGTCAGCATTGTTGTGTGGAGTTATCGATGTGTTCTGCTTTGCATTCAGCATGTCTCTGTAACACCCATAATATCCTATTATCTGAGGAGCTGCATTAATAATTCTCTCTTTCTGACCATTGAACATAAGAACATAAGAACTAGGAGCAGGAGTAGGCCGTCTGGCCCTTCAAGCCTGCTCCGCCATTCAATAAGATCATGGCTAATCCTTTCGTGGACTCAGATCCACTTACCCGCGTTCTCACCGTATCCCTTAATTCCTTTATTGTTCAAAAAAAATCTACCTTTTTTTTAAAAACATTTACTGAAGTAGCATCAACTACTTCACTGGGCAAGGAATTCCATAGATTAACAACCCTCTGGGTGAAGAAATTCCTTCTCAGTTCAGTCCTAAATCTGCTCCCTCTAATCTTGAGGCTATGCCCTCTTGTCCTAGCTTCAGCTGCCAGTGGAAACATCCTCTCTACTTCTATCTTATCTATTCCCTTCATAATTTTATATGTTTCTGTAAGATCCCCCCTCAATCTTCTGAATTCCAATGAATATAATCCCAATCTACTCAGTCTCTCCTCATAAGCCAACCCCCTCAACTCTGGAATCAACCTAGTGAACCTCCTTTGCACCCCCTCCAGTGCCAGTACATCCTTTCTCAAGTAAGGAGACCAAAACTGCACACAGTACTCCAGGTGTGGCCTCACCAGCACCTTGTACAGCTGCAACATAACCTCTCTGCTTTTAATTTCAATCCTTTTAGCAATGAAGGACAAAATTCCATTTGCCTTCCTAATTACTTGTTGTACCTGCAGACCTACCTTCTGTGATTCATGCACAAGGACACCCAGGTCCCTCTGCATAGCAGCATGCTGCAACTTTTTACCATTCAAGTAATAATCCTTTTTACTATTACTCCTACCAAAATGTACGACTTCACATTTATTTACATTGTATTCCATCTGCCAGACCTTTGCCCACTCACTCAATGTATCTATGTTCCTCTGCAAAGTTTCACAGTCCTCTGCACACTTTGCTGTGCCACTCATCTTAGTGTCATCTGCAAACTTTGACACCCTACACATGGTCCCCAACTCCAAATCATCTATATAAATTGTAAATAATTGAGGTCCCAACACCGATCCCTGAGGCACACCACTAGTCACTGAGCTTTATGCAGTCATTTAGGTTACAGAAAGTGTATTCATTTTTCTTTACACAATATTAACAATATTAGCATTCACTTTGCTAATTATATGCGTGCTCACAAGACTTGCTCACATGATTTGAAAATGCTTTGTGTTAAATCCATCGTTGAATGTATTTGAGTTCTAAATACTTGTTTTATATTGGCGGGCCTCTTTGGTAAAAGCCATTCATCAAAATGGACGTGGACATTTCTGTCCCTTCATTATACAATTATCTATATGTATCTTCCTTGGTCAAAACAAAACTAACTATTAAAAGCCTCTAATATGCTATCTGCTAGAAACAGCAGCGTCTTCCAATATCACCTTGCATCATCGTCGCTTTTGTCACTCATTCAACCTTGACCTCCATCCTGTGACAGACCTTAGCTTTTGTCCCACCCGCGCCCAGCGCAATACCACCCCCAACCCCCGCCCCTCTGTAATCACTGCTTATGTTTAACATCTTCTGATGAAAGGTGTCCTGTCTCCAGGAACCTAGCCTGACATGCTCAGAGCTTCTAATCTTTTGTTTTTGTCTTTACTTCGAATTTCCATCAGTCTTGTTTTGATTTACAATGGACGGCAAATAGGGCTATGTGTTACAGAGCTCTAGAATACAAGTCGGCTTGCTTATGTATTAGAGGAATTTATGGTGTGGAACATTAGTGAGTTGTGAGACGCTAATGAAAGAGAGAGCTTTCAGAAGAATCCCACCAGGCGTCCTTTATTAATTCATGCTAAGCTTTTTCATTCAATGTTAAGATTCTCTTCGGAAAAGTTGGGTACATAAACATTAATCATTGTTCTGTTGGTCAAAGTGTCGATTGAGCAATGAACGGATGCGCGCTCTCAATAAGATATCCTTTCTGTTATTGATTTATATGAAACCTTTTGTCAGGGAATGGTTCGGCATTCGGTGTCTTTATAATATGGAGGTGGGGAGTAAACAATGAAAGATGCTTAAGCCCAGGTTGCCTCTTGTTAAACCACTGGGATGAAATGGAAACATTTAATCGTTTGCTCTGGGGTTGTTTTTTTTCTCTATGTCGGTTGACGCAGGTTGGCAGCGAGCTGACGCACAGAAGTGGATTTGCATGGAGTCCACCTCCTGAAAGCTGACAGAGAGACGAGCTCCAGTCTCCAGTCTCCACCGTCCGCAGAACAGCACCGCTCAGTCCAGAAGCCAGAGCCGCTCGGGCTGCGCTCTCCAAGGTGCTGAACCCGACTCCGTGTTCATCTGCAGGCAAACCGTGCGCTCTTAAGGCTGGAAAGCACCGCCAAAAGACTTTCTCCTCGCCCAATATATCTCCAACGATGACTTCTAAATCAGCAGCATTTGTATCATTTCTCCAGGCGTTTGTCCTGGTGTCACACCAGATCCATGCATTCCCTACACCTGGAGTACTGAAAGGTAGGTCCAATTTCAGATGCATAAAAATAAAATCACGTTCTCACTCAATCAACAGATTGGACTATTCTTATCATGTCATCTGTTAAGACGAACGTAGTTGAGCTCATTTTTTGTTTGGCTACTCAGTCAAGTATTGTTTCTGAGCAGTGTCTTTTGTGTCTTCGAGTTCTGTTAACCAGGCATCTCTGATTCTGTTGCAGTACGGCTGTTGTGCGAGGGGAATACTGCAATTATTTCCGAATTATCAAATTTTTTGCGAATAAATGTCGTCAGACTGCTCCACCCAGTGTTGACTTGTGTATTGCGATTACGCTAAAATCTCTTCAATATATTAGAGTCTGTTACCCGCTCGTAAATATTTCACATAGACTTACTAAATATCATGGTTGGTGGGGGCGGGGTGGTTGAGCGGAACGGTGGTAGCGGGTGTTCCCAAGCTTTGGGAGAAAGGTATATCGTCAGCATGGTTAATCTGGTTATGTTAGATAAATTCCAGTCGCATAAATTGAGCGTCTAAATAAATTTACAAATAAGATTGTGTTTTAAATTCGTTATTATCAAGGCGGACTCAGGCCAATGGGTAATTATATTTAGGATAAAGGCTTCTGAAAGCTTGATCTCAGAAAATAGTTGAAAATGGCTAAACTGTCCCCTGTCAAGCATTGCTGACAAACGTGTATGCCTTCATCAATAATACTGCCACAGTTCAATCCTATAATGTGTAATAAAACTAACCGGCACACTTGTTAGTAACGCCGTAGTAGGTCGTAGGAGGATTTTACACCGAACTTGGTCACAATTTGTCAAACAATTGGTAGGAATTTGCTTAAATCCGGTTCTTATATGTCAACGTTCTCATTGTTTCAATTTATAGCCGAGAGTCGGTTTAAACATATGCTGTTCGGTCAGTAACCAAGTCTTTGCAAGGTGTAGGGAGCATTGTGTGCATAGAACTATGCTTTTAACATTTCACATTCACAGGTACAATCATGTGTGTTCCATTTATTTCAGACAAAACTGAATACAATCGGGAATTATCAGCGGAAAGACCGGTAGAGGAACAGGTAAATGATTTCCAAATGCTAACGCATTGCCTCAGAGATGAAACCTGATAAGTTGTTTCCTATTTTCGCTGAATTGCGTTTTATTAGTTCATTGTATATACTCACAACCTGTTCACTAGCTTTGGTGTTCCCTATTAAAATCTGATTGAAAAATGACTGCATTGCAATGTCTTATTTAATTATCGTCCTTTCAAGACAATAAAGGGCAAATAACATCTGGTGTCACTAAATATTATCTCTCTTCCCGGTCTTCCTTTATTGGATGTTTTCAAGTGGATTTGGGGCAAAACTACCAAGAAGCCGGTATTAAAAGTCACTTTCGAAATGTTATTTTTTCTCCAGATTGCTGAAGCTGGACGGACCAGTCAATCGACAACTACAGGTATTTATTGTTGTTATTATTTACATAGACTGTACAAACAGAAACAGACCATTCGGTCCAAATGCTGATGTTTGTCCCATACTCGAACCGAATGATACACCATAAGTTCACAATTAGGGCGCCTCATTCTTTGCAAAAAGAACATGCCCAGCCTTCCCTACCTCTTAACGCATTCCTACACCAAGATTGCCCTTTTTGATCCTTTCAGATTGGCCTTTCCTTTCACCCCAGCATAGGCAGCATTGTCTTCAGATCCCTTATTAGTGCAATTCACCTGCACGCTTTGAAGGATGTTGCAGGTTACAGAGGGACATAGATAAGCTGCAGAGCTGGGCTGAGAGGTGGCAAATGGAGTTTAATGCGGAAAAGTGTGAGGTGATTCACTTTGGAAGTAGCAAGAGGAATACAGAGTACTAGGCCACTGGTAAGATTCTTGGTAGTGTGGATGAGCAGAGAGATCTCGGTGTCCATGTGCATAGATCACTGAAAGTTGCCACCCAGGTTGATAGGGTTGTTAAGAAGGCATACGGTGTGTTAGGTTTTATTGGTAGAGGGATTGAGTTTTGGAGCCGTTAGGTCATGTTGCAGCTGTACAAAACTCTGGTGCGGCCGCACTTGGAGTATTGCGTACAGTTCTGGTCGTCGTATTATAGGAAGGATGTGGAAGCATTGGAAAGGGTGCAGAGGAGATTTACCAGGATGTTGCCTGGTATGGAGGGAGGGTCTTATGAGGAAAGGCTGAGGGACTTGAGGCTGTTTTCATTAGAGAAAAGGTTAAGAGGTGACTTAATAGAGACATACAAGATGATCAGAGGATTAGATAGAGCGGACAGTGAGAGCCTTTTTCCTCAGATGGTGATGGCTAGCATGAGGGGACATAGCTTTAAATTGAGGGGTGATAGATATAGGACAGATGTCAGAGGTAGGTTCTTTACTCAGAGAGTAGTAAGGGTGTGGAATGCCCTGCCTGCAACAGTAGTAGACTCGCCAACTTTAAGGGCATTTAAATGGTCATTGGATAAACATATGGATGATAATGGAATAGTGCAGGTTAGATGGGCTTCAGATTGGTTTCACAGGTCGGCGCAACATTGAGGGCCGAAGGGCCTGTACTGCGCTGTAATGTTCTATGTTCTATGTTCTATGCTATCCTTTCTGTTTGCTTTTCACAAGTCTCTATATCCAACCAAATGTTGAGCCTCCCCTCCTAATCCCACCCTTCATCCTTCAATTTAATTTCCCTTGTCTCTATTTGTGAAAAACAGTGAGACATTAAAGGCGCTATATGAATTCATTGCTATGCTTGTATCTTACATTCCTTAGATATCAAAAGCCTGGGATTCCACGGTTACTTTTCACCTCATGTTGATTTAATGCCTCTCTAGAGAACCAGTCCCTGCAACAGAATGACTCAGCAGTGGATGACTTCCTCCTGCTCAAGTCCTTGGCAGAGAAAGAAAGAAGTCAGAAGAGAGACCATGCTACAAAAACCCATCCGAGTGGTTCCTCACCTCCCTCTGGCAATGCAGACTCAACCAAAAGCAGAAGGCTAGCGGAGGACTATGGCGATTCCACCAAAAATGCAATGGATTATGAAGATGAAGGTCTTGTTGGTTTAGTTGAAATGGTTGTCTTCCTTATATCTGTGGAGGGGGGGTGGACAGATTTTCTTTCCTTGGGGCATTAGTCAATCTCTATGTTCACCGCGGTTTATATACTTTGGATTCACCATAACTGTTCTCAAATAAATGTTAAGCCTTTAAACATTATTATAATACAGTGACCTTTATCCTTACAGATGACCCCGATGGTCTTCATCAACTGGACGGGACACCTTTAACAGCTGAAGACATTGTCCAAAAAATCGCCAACAGGATTTATGAAGAAAACGACAGAGGAGTTTTTGATAGAATCGTTTCCAAGCTCTTAAACCTGGGTCTGGTAGGTGTCTGAACCCATAAGAAAAATCCAAAATGTACTTCCTATAATCAAACAAGAAAACAAATGTATTGTCTCAACATCATAACAGGCAGTGACAACATGATTTGAATGGTAGATTAATACTGCGTTGATTCAACTGAATGATTTCAAAGCTTTTCTTCTGGATCATTGTAGGTTTACTGACAGCTAACTAGAACACCAATAGGTGCCCTGGAGTGGAGAACAAACAATTGCAATCATATTTAATGTAACAACTGAGAAGACATGAAACATAGACTGAATGATTCAAAGCTTCGTGATGATACAATTCAAACCATAAAATGGATTTTGTTTTATTATCAGTTGAACAGCTCCTTCCCCATCAGAGAGAGAAACAGAGTTAACATTTCAAGTCAAATATAACTCTTTTTGGAACTCAAGGAAATGTTAGCTATTTCTCTCTCCATAGAGGTTCAAAGACCTGCTGAGTTTTTCCAGCACTTTCTATTTTTATTTCCAGATCTCCAGCATTCACAACATTTTACTTTTAAGATTAGTCAGGGTGTTTGATTGCTTTCCAAGAAAATGTGCCTGTTGGGTGAGAGTAGAATCAGACTCTCCATGGCTAAAGTGCTGTTTAAATCTCACTTAACTTACAAATGGAGATGGTCCATTTGGCTGGAGCACTAGAGGATGCCCAGTGGCTGTGAAACTCCATGGCAAGAGCCAGGGCTTCTTGGCAGGAGGTTGATCAGACAAAAGAGAAAATGAAACATCATTGATATACCTACTGTTTAACCCTATTTAGATGTTGACTCATTCTTGTTACAGATAACAGAAAATCAGGCTTACAATCTGGAAGATGAAGTAGCAGCAGCTCTGCAACAACTTATTACCAATGAAGCTCGTAAGAATGAAGTGGAGGCTGGAAATATTGATTACCCAAGTATGAAAGTAGATGATGACTTGAATGAAAGAGAAGAAGAGAAAATGGCAAGTTCGTTAAAGTTAATTAAGGGCATAGAGCATGCTCCATGTGGACAAAATCAGACATCACATGACACCAGGCTTTAGTCCAACAGGTATATTTGAAATCACAAGCACTGCTCCTTCATCAGCTGAACATCATCAGGTCAGACTCCACCTGATGAAGCAGCAGTGCTCCAAAAGCTTGTGATTTCAAACAAACCTGTTGGACTACAACCTGGTGTCATGTGATTTCTGATTTTGTCCACCCCAATCCAACACCAGCACCTCCACATTATTGCTCATAACTCCTTTATCTGTGGACAAAACACTGCTCTATTTGGAGTATAATTGACTGTTCATGGCTAAGATAATTTTAAAACCTCAGTTAAAGAATGGAAATGGCTTTTCCAATAATTCGATGAGTTCATCACTAAGTATTTCCCTATTGATCATTATCTGAAATCCCAGACTGTGCTATGTTGCATATTCTTAACCAGCATCAAGCTAATGTTACTGCAGTTGACCGGTGTTAGGAGGGAGAGACGTCCCCCGGTACGTTCAGCCTTGAGTGCTAGACGTTGAGTCCTATTGGATATGGACAAAAGTGCATGCTTAGCTGTAATCTACTCATAATTGAATAACAAAATAACATGGCACACAAGGGCCATTTTGATGAGCTACTAGAGAAGACAGTTAGCGCTCACACAATCAGACCCTTTAAAGAATCAATATGTTGAGAAGATAAGGAGAAGAAAGTAAACTGAAGAACATAAAGTAAATCATGAACTTGTAGCAGTGGCCAAAAGAGATTGTCATAAAAACTACTGCTGGGTTGTTGGCAACACATATATACAAATATCATTGCAAGTGAACATCATATGTACAATGTGATAGAATTACAATAAGAATGTGAAATCAGAAAGCATTGATGATTTAATATTTATCAAGTAACATTTTTTCAAGGAACCAATTATCCTACAAGTGTGGCATATATTATTAGCCACAAGACCAATTGCATCATCCCTCTTGAGTTGGACATAAAGCACAGAGAGTTTCTCATTCTCAGCTCCTTGGCAACTGCACAATAGTAATGATATCATCCTTACACACTGTGTAATTATCTTTATGATTTATGGAACAGAAGTAATAATTCAGAATTTCAAAAGGCCAACAGCAATCTTGTTTTTATGTGGAAGTTTGCCTTCGTTAATTAATTTTGCATAAAATGTAAGGTGTCAGCCACAGCTCAGTAGGTAACAATCTCACTTCTAAGTTGGAGGGTGTTGCAATCAACCCCTACTCAAGTGACATGGGCACACGTTCTAGACTGCCTAAGGCAGCAGTGCAATAATGGCGCCATCTTTCAAGTGAAAAATTAAACTGAGATCCTATCTGCCCTTTCAGATGTATGTCCTAGATCCTGTCATACTTTTAAGAAGAGCAGTGATGTTACCTTGTTAGTTCTTTATCAATACCATTCAAGCAGATTATCCAGTAATTTAAGCTATTTGTGAGACTTTGATGTGTGAAAATTGTCTTCCATGTTTATCTTCATTGGTGTCCACATTTCAGGAGCAAAATGTTTATTGTTAAGAATAATTGATTGTGACACAATTCCTGGATGATATTCTAAGGTAATGAAATGTGTTCTTTGAAGACAAATTTGTTTTCCTTCTCAATTAGTGCAGTTTAAAGTGCAATTCAGCTACATTGCGGCACATTTCAACGAATAAGATATGGGTTCAGAATATGCCCACCAATAGAATTTGTTCTCTAAGCCAAAACACTGCAGCAAGTTGATGAGCAGAGACCAAATGCTTCCTCACAGAGATGGAGCAAATGTCCACACATGTCCATAAGATTTTTGATATATCTTCAGGTGGAACAGATTTCAGAACTTGCTTCACCTTTAAATGGGAACAATGCTCAGTGCAGGACAAAATACATCCAACAATAGAAAATACTTGTGCAATGCCCTATGTTTTAAAAGCAATACCTGTATATTAATTATAATATGACCTACATTTATATGCACAACATCATTTTGCACCATCAATATTGCAGATATTTAATTACTTTTTGACTATTATGAGACAGTTATACTATCATATTTGAAAGAAAAAAAACTGAATTTACGTCAGAGGTATTTCACATTTTTAAACTTCCCAAGCCATTTTCCAATTTATGACAGTGAATGAGCCAGATTGTGTTCTTGCAATTTTCCCAATTCCCTTTTTAAACCACTTGCCAAACTTTCATTCATAAGAGGAAATGACTTGTTCCTCTCTTCTGAATTTATATCTTCAATGCATTTCTTACCCAACAGACAATCAGTGTTACTGATGACCTGCTTCATTAATTTAAAATCATGAAGGCTCTTCAATGGAAAATGTCGATACCAACCTGTTTATCACTATTTCAAGATTAGTAGTGTGTGAAATATTTACGTGCATGGATTTCACTACAAAAAATGAAAGAACACTGTCTAATCAGCTATTCTGAGATCTCCATAAATAGCTCAATGAAATATTGGCATAGGTCACAACTTAGGAGCAACTCTGAAAAAAAATACTATTTGCATGTAATGTGCCCCTTGCCCGAATTTTTGCCTATCAGACAGGCAATTGGGTAGAACAGGCAATTATTTCTACTTTTGTAGTGAAATTTGTAAAGGCAATTTCCCTACACACTACAGATCCTCTCTATTGGCTATTAGGGTTCCAAAGACAAATGGTTTATCTTGATTTTGTTAGCTCCAAATGCCCCCACCTCCACAGCTTCCTGGAGAATGGTGTTACAAATTTCTAATACTTTTTATGTGGCTCTTGATTTCACTCCTGAATGGTCTCACTCTAATGAAAAGACATTTATTACTTTTTTACTTTCTTGCATTCCATAGAAGATCAAAAAGCTTAAGAAGAATGAAGAGGAGCTTGTGAAGGGGAGTGATGGTACTCTAGGCAACAGTTGGGTCTCAACCAATAATATAAATCAAAGAAGCAGTGTACTTGTTGCTGATGACCTGAGTGATCTTCAGTATTTCCCAAACTTCTACAACCTGCTGAAGAGTTTGAACACAGGTAATTCAGATTTTAGGATAGATCCAGTTTTGGAGATAGGAGTGCTTGCCATTTGTGGTAATAATGTAAACTTCCAGTGACTGCCTCTGCACAATTAAACGGGTAAGGCAGGATGTTGCTGTCCAAGGTGCCATGCTCCTCCAAAAGCTGCATGAGATTGATGACTTACCAAAAGTCTCACTATTGAAATATTTGGAATGATATTAAGCTGCTGCATTATGCTGTTATATACACATTAATTTCACCAGAAACTCTGAAAGATTGCCCATTCCACAGTAATGGTAAATTTTTAGTCTTCCATTATACTGACATGTAATTTTCATTATCAAATGTTAATCATTCTTGCATGAAAAGATTTGCTTTTACACATTTTTCAATAAATTAATTTCATGCCAGTTATGTGAAATTAGATTTTCAGAGAGAATGTTCAGTTGTTATCAGCTGAAATATTTAAAAGAGAATTGTATTTGTATATTTGAAATTTAATGGCATACTCTGTCTTAAGTACTGCAAGAAATATGTTACAGAAAATTAACCTTTAAAAGGGTGAAGTTTCATTCATTCATAGTTTAATTACTTTTGGAGACATAAAAATGTTTTTGCTTTTTTTTGGTTTGATCATTTATCTCTCTTCTTTAATCCTTCTTTTGCTTTCTATACCTGATTTAACATTGAATTAAGTATTCCAACTAATTGTCTCTGTCTCTAGTTCAGATTCTGTGCTGCACTTTAACAATACTTTAACCTGATTCAGTTAATCAAATACATAGTGGCTGGTTTCTTCATACGTAGCCTGCATTGCCTCTGGAGGTGCTGTACTCTTGTCTGTTGTCTCACAGGAACGGGCATACAAACGTCTGTAGAAAATCTATGGGCAAAGTGCAAGAGGGAAAAAAGGGCTGGCGCCATTCATTCATTGCTGACTACAGAATCTGGCCCGTATATAGTCTCAGAAAACGAATTGGTGCTTTAATAATTAATGTTGTCTGATATTATTGTCAGATTGTTGTATAGCCACTCACCAAAGCTAATTGGCAGTGATAGCCAGCCTGAATGTGGAAAATAGTAGAAATCACACATTTGATGACGGAATTTAACAATCCATCCCTTTGCAGCAATGAAGCCTTGACAGCCATCAATATAGTCACATGAAAATGGTAAGCCATGTTTAGCTGCATGCTATGAATGAACTTTTGTTGGAAAAAATTGCACTTAATATTTATGAACCGATAGTTTTCTGTTCCACATCATATCTGGGGCATTAGCCATGTCATTTAAAGTAAAAAGTAAGATGTGAACATATGAATTAGGAGCAGGAATGGGCACTCATGTCAAACTTCCTCTATCTTCAATACGATCACGGCTAATGTAATTACTCCATGTTCCCGTTAAACTCCAACAATGTTGATACACACACACACACACACACACCACATTGCATGTCAAGAATCCAAAGACGTGCAGGTTAAGTGGATTGGCCATGCTAAATTGCCTGTAGTGTCCAGGTTAGGTAGATTAGTCATGGGAAATGCAGGGTTACAGTGATAGGATAGAGAATTGAGTCTGGGTGGGATGGTCTTCAGAGAGTCAGCGTGGACTTGCTGGGCCAAATGGCCTGTTGCCACACTATAGGGAGTCTAAGAATCTAATGACCTCTGCCTTAAAAAAAAATTCAAATACTTTACTTCCACCATTTTTTCAGGAAGATTTCTAAAGATGCACAACCCTCTGTGAGAAAAAAAATTCTCTTCTTCTCTGTCTAAAATGGGTTACCCCTTATTTTTAAACTGTGTTCCCTTAGCTCTAGGTTCTCCCACAAGTGGAAACAACCTTTCCACATTGACCTTATCAAAACCCCTTTAATCTTTTATGGTCCAATCAAATGGGGAGGCCTAGTGATATTATCACTGGTCTATTCATCCAGAAACTCAGCTTATGTTCTAGGAACCCATATTCAAATCCTGACATGGCTGAAACTGAATTTTGAATTAGCGTCTAATGATAACCATTAAACCGTTGTCAATCATTGTGAAAAACCCATCAAGTTCACTAATGTCCTTTAGGGAAGAATATCTATGATCCTTTTGCCTCATCTTTAGCCACTGGTGAAGTTCTGGAAGACTGGAGGGTGGCTAATGTTGTTCCATTGTTTAAGAAAGGTAGCAACGCCAAGCCAGGGAACTACAGATGAGTGAGCCTGACATGAGTGGTAGGCAAGTTATTGGAGAGGATGCTGAAGGACAGAATCAAGCAACATTTGGATAGTCAAGGTCTGATTAGGGATAATCAGCATGAATTTGTGCACGGGAAGTCATGTCTGACAAATCTTTTAGTTTTTCGAAAAGGTAACCAAGAGGATAGATGACGGTAGTCCATGTTGTCTACATGGACTTTTTTTAAGGCCTTTGACAAGGTCCCACACAGCAACCTAGTCATGAAAGTTAGGTCTCATGGGATCCAGGGAGAGCTAGCTAATTGGATTCAAAATTGGCTTGATGGTAGGAAGCAGAGGGTGATGGTTGAAGGTTGTTTCTCAGACTGTAGGCCTGTGATGAGTGGTGTGCCACAGGGGTCGGTGCTGAGGCCTTTGTTATTTGTTATTTACATAAATGATCTGGATGTGAATGTACAAGGCATGATTAGCAAGTTTACGGATGATACAACATTAGGAGGTATCGTTGATAATGAAGAAGGTTATCAAAAATTACAGAGGGATATTGATCTGAGGGGGAAGTGAGCTGAGGATTGGCAAATGTAGTTCGATACAGATAAGTGTGAGGTGTTGCATTTTGGAAATTCAAACCGAGGTAGGACTTGTACGGTAATGGTAAGGTCCTGAGGAGTGTTGTGGAACAGAGGGACCTAAGAGTACAAGTACATAGTTCATTGAAAGCGGCGTCACAGGTGGACAGGGTGGTGAAGAAGGCATTTAGCATGCTGTCAAGGCATTGAGTATAGGAGTTGGGATGTTATGGTACAGCTGTATAAGTCATTGATGAGGCTGTACTTGGAGTATTGTGTACAGTTTCGGTCACCCTGTTACAGGAAAGATATAGTTAAACTGGAAAGTGTGCAAAGAAGATTGACGAGGATGAGCCTAGGACTAGTAGGCCTGAGTTAAAGGGAGAGGTTGGCCAGGATAGGACTTTATTCCTTGGAATGTAGGGGAATGAGGGGTGACCTTATTGAGGTGTATAATATCATGAGGGTCATAGATAGGATGAATGCATATAGTCTGTTTCCCAAGGATGGTGAATTGAAAACTAGAAGGCATAGGTTTAAGGTGAGAGGTGATATATTTAAGAAGGACCTGAGGGGAAACTTCTTCATGCAGAGAGTGGTGCGTATATGGAATGGGCTGCCAGAGAAAGTGGTTGAGGCAGGTAAACATTTAAAAAACATTTGGATAGTTTCATGGATGAGAAGGGTTTAGATGGATATTGAATAAATGCAGGCAATTGGAACTAGCTGAGTGGGCACCATGGTCAGCATGGACCAGTTTGTGTTGAAGGACCTGTTTCCATGCTGTCTTACTATATCACTCTACCTGGCCTACATGTGACTCCAGATGCACAGCAATGTGATTGACTCTTAACTGCCTTCTGGACAATTAGAGATAGGCAATAAGTGCTGGCCTAGCCAGAGAAACCCATGTTCTGAGGGTGAATGAAAGAAAAATGCCTGTTATTCTTAACTTAAATAGATACAAGCCTAAGCTGCCCAACATTTCCCTATAAGCCAACTCACCCATTTCAAGATTAGTCTAGTAAACCTTCTCTGAATTTCTTCCAATACTTCCTTCCTTCCATAAGGAGACCAATACTCCAGTTGTGATTTTACCAATACCCTTTATTACTGAATTATAACCTTTTTGTATTCATTTTTCCTTACAATAAATGCCAACATTCTATCAGCTCTTCTAATTAATTGCTGTACCTGCACAGTTATCTTTTAGAAGCTTAGAAAATAGGAGCAGGAGTAGGCCATTCTTTCCTTCAAGCCTGCTGTACCATTCACAATGATCATGCCAGATCAACCAGTTCAATAGTCTGTTCCTGCTTTTCATCCATATCCTTTGATCCCTTTAGTTCTGAGCCTACTTTGTGATTCATGCACTTGGACACCTAGATTCCTCTGTATATATCTCAGTTCTGCAACATCTTACCATTTAGATAAGGTTTCTTTTTTAAAATTTTTTCTTCCAAATTGGACAATTTCACATTTTCCCATATTATGCTCAGTTTGACAGAGCTTTGATCACTCAATTAATCTATCCATATTCCTTTGTAGCCTTATGTCCTCTTCACAACTTACTACCCTACCTACTTTTGTGCCATCAGCAATTTCAGTTATCATACCTTTGTCTCTTCACTCAAGTCATTTGTATAAATTTTAACCAGTTAAGGTCCCTACACTGATCCCTGTGGCACACCCATTGTTATATCTTTCCAATCAGAAAATATTTATGCTGATTCTCTGTTTCTTGTTTGCTTGCCAATCTTCTATCCATGCCATTATGCTACCCTCTACATGATAACTTTCTGAAATAACCTTTGATATTGCCCATTATCAAATGCCTTCTGGACATCTAAGTACGGTACATCCACTGATTCCCCTTTATCTATAGTGTGTGCTATTTCTTTTAAAGGACTCAAAATAATGGTTAAACACGTGATCCCTCTCACAAGAACCTTACTGATGATCTCAAACTTTTCTAAGTGTCTTGCTGTAATGTCTTTAATAATAGCTTATGACATTTTCACTATGACTTATGTAAGCTAACTTGCCTGTAGTTCCCTGTTTTCTGTTCCCCGCTCTTTTTGAATAAATGAGTTATGTTCTCTAATTTGTATTCTAATGAAACTTTCCACAAATCTAAGGAATGTTCAGAAATTAAAATTAATACATCAACTATCTCACTTCTTTTAAGGCTCTAGGGTGAAATTGATCAGGACCTGGGGACTTCGCAACCTACAGGATATGGAGAATGTGCGACAAAATCAATTTTGTTGCTTCTCTTCGCTGTTTTAAAAATTGAGATGTGCCTTTTAAGTGGTCATTATGTTTCCAGATTTGTGGAAAACTGATGCTGTATAAAAGTTTTACACAGCACATCTGATTTTTTTTGTTAACACAGAACAAGATGCAAAGGAGAAAGAAACACTAATAACCATAATGAAGACATTAATTGATTTTGTGAAGATGATGGTGAAATATGGAACAATAACACCTGAAGAAGGTGTTTCATACTTGGGTGAGGATAAATTTACTGCATAGATCACATTACTTCACTATGATCAAATATGAACTTTACTTTTCACAGTGACAGCAATGTGATCCCTGTAAACTTTCTATGAATAAACAAACATAGGTGCAGCATTTCACCTGCTGGTTCTTGTTGAATTGCTTTTGAAGTTCAGGTAGTAATTTCAGGCAGTTTCTTCTTAAAGTTATTTTCTACCTCTGTAGAGATTAAATAGACTTGCAATGTTAATAAGGTATAGTCTGTTCAAAGGAGGGGACTCAATGAGCTCATTTTCATATATTTAAGTTTATGTGTTTGAACTCTAGGATTAATATCCAACTGGTGTTTTGATCAGTGCTCTAGCTCCATTGCAGTAGTGACATTATAAAATAAATATAGAGAGCTGCATACTATTTCGGGGCAAAAGTTGAGAGAGGAATTGCCCATCAGATGATAATTTTTTTCTTAAATAAAAACCGAAAGAACTGCGGTGCTGTACATCAGGAACAAAAACAGAGGTTGCTGGGAAAGCTCAGCAGGTCTGGCAGCATCTGTGAAGAAAAAAATCAGAGTTAACATTTCAGGTCCAGTGACCCTTCCTCAGAACCGAGGAACTGCCAAGGTCATTGACCTGAAACTGAAACAAAATGTGAGTGAGAACAGAGAACAGGGAATAACAAAAGGTCAGTGAATGAGCCATCAAATGCAGTACAAATTTTTTCTTGGTTGTATGACAGAAATGTTAGAAGAATATTCCCAAGTACAAGACCAGTATTCCAGTCTTGACGAGACTTCAGCTTCAGACAGAAGAGTTAGGAGGGGTCCAGATTAAAAAAAAACAGTTTGCATAAAAGCATCATAGAAGTCTAAGAATGGAAGAGAATGGAGTTGAGGTCAGACAGGAGTGGAGCTGTGAATTCTTGACAGAAAATAAATACAAAGTGTAGCAACATCAGAGATGGAGTCAGTAGCTGTTGGATGGATTTGTAAGAAACTCAAATAAAGCATGTCTGAAAAATTGGAACAAGTACAAGTTTTTTAATGCCTTTATAAAAAGATCAAATTATAGTGATTTAGGACTGGGAACATGTTTCTTAAGTATTGTGATGAATGTAGACTAAAATGATTTGTTAAGAGGATTGAGTTGGATGATTAGCTGCCAAGGTCATTGACATGAAACTGAAACAAAATGTGAGTGAGAACAGAGAACAGGGAATAACAAAAGGTCAGAGAATGAGCCATCAAATGCAGTACATATTGAGCAATTTGAGACTAAGTTAGATAGCAATGAACACAGTTTTCAGTCAGAAATGTCTGGCATCAGGTGCTATCCAGGGTTAAGAAATGTACAAGTCAATGATAAATCCTTCACCGTAGTTCCAGAAGTATGCAATATAAATAAGTGACACTGTAAGATCTATACCAATAAAATATCACAGCTAAAACCAAAAATGTCAGAATTAATATCTGTTTCTATAATCTTGGCAAAGTATTAACACTAGTAAATGGCCTGCATATTAGTTTGATGAACAATGCTACACGTGGTAACTTTGTAGTTTTCTATATTAGGTACTAGTCAGTCTAGTGCAAGGCTTCCCAAACTGGATAGTGACTGCTGGAACCCTGGTGGTGTAATGAGATAGGAATTTGTGGTTAGGAACTCTGCGGAAGCAATGAATGCTGTAGAGCTCAGATAGTGTGCTAACAGCAGGAAAGCTTATTTAAATTGATGCGTTTTTCTAATGGTGGGTATGGCCTAATGGATAGCTCTTTTTGGCTTCATTGTTGTTGCTGCTGCTGCAAAGGAGTGTGAACAGGTTGGTGTTTTTTTTAAGAATATAATCTCTGCATTTTAAAGACTTACGATATATTCCAGCTACCACTGAGTGGACAAAAGTCTGCACCGTCCCAAACAAACAAGCTCAACGACTGTGAGATCGCCCATATTTTCATGCTGAGATCACATGACATGGGGCAAGTAAACAAAGCCGCAACATGTGGGAAGCATTGTTTTAGTGTGACTAAGTTTACTCTTGTCCATGTGCAATGATTTTATTTCACAGAAGTGTTGAGACATAGAAGGAGGCCATTGTGTCTTGAATGCCTTAAATGAACTTACCTCCACCTCATTTCCAGGCAATGCATTCCTTGCCATATTATGTGAAACATCCTGTCAGGGAAGAATAAAGACATAAGATGCTGGAAATACTCATCAGATCAGGCAGAATTAGTGGTGAGAAAGACACAGTAAAGGGATGATGAAAGGTCGTATTATGCTTGATAAAACAATCATGTCAGCCATTGAAAGACTGGCAGATTGAGTTGCTCAATTGCCATTTATGCTGCCCACAGTTTCATTTCCTGTCAGTCATCATCTTGAAATTGCATGCTTAGGATAAGCAATCACTTCCTTGAATGTTTTCTCGATGTAATTCAAAGTCATTTGAAAGTATCAAGGCAAGCCTCTGCTAAGTATGATTACAATAATAAGATGCTGCACAGCTAGAAATCAACTGTAATATTAAAGTGTGTGTAGCACTTGAAGGTGAAAGGGAGAGCCAGCAAATCGTCATATGATACAGTTCACAAGCCTTGCACAGCTCCATTTATTTTCATCTGCAAAGTAATAGCGTGATAATGGCTCACCAAAGGGAAATTAGGAACTTAGTGCATTGAATCATACAAAGGGGATTCATTATGTTATGCATAAAGAATTTGCAGAGCTGCTATTTCTTCACAATTAAAATCACTAAGTTACCAGCATATCACTTTGAAATTCACCTTCATACCACAAGGGCATACAGGAGCATGATGGTGCCAGAGGTAAATATAGAACATACTCACTTTACTGGAAAACATATCAAGTGCATATTAAATATTAATTTTGTTAATGGAAAAGCTTTGAAGTTGAACCTTTAAAGTGGAGCACTTTAACAGAGCTGTCTCTATCATTACTTAATAAGTGTAGTGTTCTTAACTGCATGTTTTCAATTGTAATGCTGCCCATGATTTCTAGATTTATTTATTGAAAGACATTAAAAGTGGAAATGTACACTTTCAAAAAAAGTCTTAAATATCAGTCCAGTGACTGTTTCCATTTTTTAGCATTAGTATTTTAGTATTGTTAATGTAACCTATAGTTAATAAGGAGATTATAATGAACTTAGTCATGACCATATATGCATCATAAGTGTTGGCTTCACTCAGTTTGCAGCGATGCCATTACTGAGCTGGAATACCAAGGTTTTCAGGTTCATCCCAGAGGCTTGAGCTCATATTTGTACTGACACACTAACGCAGAACCAGCTTTGTTGCCATGGTTCAAAAAGACTTTCAGTTGAAGTCCTATGCCCCATTGTTCAACAGAACGGACACATTAAATATCTTATGGCATTGCTGGAGGACCAGCAAGGTCTGGCTAACATTCTTTTCTCACGTTATACTACAAAATACCTTATTACTACAAAACAAAAATTAATTGTAGTTTACTCCAACTCAATGTTTAGGAATATTGTAGTGTACAAACTAATTGCTACATGTGTTATATAACACATTTCACTACTCTTCAAAGTTACTGACAGCCTTTTTAAAATGTGAATGGAGTTTCAGGATGTCACCAACTAGGTGCCACATGGGGAGGAGATTAAGGATTGTGTAATTCTAAAAAAGGCAACAAATCGAGTTTTAAAAAAAAAACTGGTTATAAAAAAGGAAACAGTACAAGTTCAGGGCAATTTCTCATGGTGATCAGAAATTGTTAAAAATGTCTATCAGTGTTTTCTGCTGAGAACCACATCTGCTCACGTTGAATAAAGACATAGTTCCACATATTGGTCTTAAATGGCCAACTTCATATAATTATGAGCCTGGGTGTAGATCAATCCAGCCTGCTTCCAGTGAGTAAGGAATCTGAAAGAGGACTCATTAGGGATAAAACTAAATGTAAGAAATTTAGTATGGAGTAAAAGAAACTTTGTCTTTCCACAGGAGGTTGATGAGCTGTCAAATGCACAAGTGATGTTAATAACTGAGCTGGTCTCTATGTTAACACTTACAAAAACAAAGCTGCTGGAAAAGATCAGCAGGTCTGGCAGCATCTGTGAAGAAAAAAACAGAATTAACATTTCAGGTTAATGTGCTGTCAGGCCTGCTAAGCTTTTTCAGCAACTTTGTTTTTGTTCCTGATTTACAGCATTCATAGTTCTTTCGGTTTCTATGTTAACACTTAATGTTAGAATAGATTGATGGTTGCAGGATTCAAGAAAAGATGATATTGAAACACAGCAAAAATGCTCATATGAAGGATGCTTGGGCAAAGGGGCAGTTTCTGAACTGCAATGTCAATTTAATTCTATATAGATGATATCTTTTGAGACAGTTCTGAGTAATATCATAAGGCATAATATAAATGCAAGTTTCTCTTTAATTGTTTATCATGCACTCGTATAACATTTGTACTCAGAGATGGGACTTGTATTTATTTTTCAAGTTTCTCAGATTACCTTTTGCCCAAAAGTGATAAATGTTATTGTTAGAAAATGGAACACTTTCTATTTTGTGCAAAAAGTACCAGATTAAACACCTCCAATCTTGACTGAGGACATTTATATGGATAAATAATTTCAAATTGCATATTTGTAAATAAAGTGTCTCTGGTCTGAAGACAAATACACCTGATAGCACTTTTCCATCTCTCATGCCAACTATTGTCTTACCCTTTTGCGTGAAGTTGCCAATTTAGTGCCCATTGTTGCATATTTGTACTGGTTTTGTATTGTAGTCCCACTTGCATTAGAAACTTGACCAATGTGGCTGAAAGGTACTTCATAAGAAGAATACAAGAAAATCCAGGATGAAGCCATTTGGTCCTTCAAACCTTTCTCTCTTGCACACTAGCTCTCTTGTCATGGAATCTAGATTTTTAAAATAACCATGATTTTTGTTTTGTAATTTATTTCAAACATACAGCACTGCAAGCTAAATAATATTCTTAGAACATTTATAGCCAGATGGTTAACGTGAGTCTGAGATGGATTTGAACATAGATATCAGAGGTGAAAGGGTGACAGTCTTTAACACCTCCTCTGTCTTTATGCATCTCCGCACATGTTTAATAGACTCCCGTAACATAATGCAACAGGCCATTGAATTGGAAAAAAATAGTTAAGTTGTTTGTTGCAAGGTATGTAATTCTTCAAATAACAATTCTATGTTTTGATTATGAGCAAAATCATAAACATTTATAACGTTTAAACATATTAAGCCAGTGTACAGATTTACTGAATCATATTTTAAATCGCAACCCATTTTTGAGTTACATTAAATATCATACATTTTCCAAAAGACTTTAGCTTTTTTAAAAATTTCAAGCAAAGCTCCAGCACAAATCACGAAGGGCCAATTTCTCCACTGAAATGAATAGACAGTTCAGCAAATTGTAGCAGTGCAAAGGGTTTTGATTAAAAAATGGAAAGCAAAAAGTAGTCTCTCAAAACTTACCTTGCAGTTGGGGAACAAAATTAATTATCATGATAAACGAAGTATTCCAAAACCATATACTGAGATTTTTTGTACATTGACCAAGGTCAGTGAGTCGAACTACAAAGACTAAATGCTCATATAACAGCTTTCTCCAGAGGATGCTAGTTACTATAGGAACTGAAGTCACAGCATTGTATGATTCTACAAGAATCAGCAGATAAATACTTCAGTTGCTTGGATACTGAGGCTCTATTTAGGTCCAGACAGTGTGTCTACTTAGAATTCAGTTGTGCTCAGCAATTTGTGATTCAGTTGTTATCAGGTCCCTAAATGGTTTGTGTTGAAAGAGTAGCTTTAATTTCAATTTGTAGCAATGTCACTTACACTGGCAGCTTCTAAATTAAACTGATTTATTCCTGTCATTAACCCCAAGATGAATAGTGAGGTGGTAAAATGAAGGTGAATAGCTGTCTAACCATCCTATTTGCTTGTCTACAGCTGTGAACTAGTCATTATAATTAATTGCATTTGTATTTAAATTAGATTGTGTGTAACATATAGTAAGTTAAATGTGAATCCCTTTAACATAGACTAAACACCAGAAAATTGTTGCTCATCCTACAAATAAAAACATCATCTTTCTTTAGAGCCAAGATGTATATATTGGGATGGGGAGGAGGAGGTTGGGCAAAAAATGTCGAAGTGGACACTGATATTTGAGATCTGCAACATTGGAATTGTCTCTCTTTCTCTCTCTCTCTCTGGAGACTTCAGCGTCTGTTGGGGAAAGGACATCAATGTAATCTGTCATTTGGAGAAGCTTTGTCTGCTTCTTAATTAGTGCATCTGAGGTTAGAGAATGGATAAGTCCTCACTTTGAACCATTTGAGTATGAATCTAGAGCTAGGAATGTCCATCTGAATCAGCTTTGTGTGTCAAAAATAGTGGGGGAGAAAGGTCTTGTGGCACTGTGGTACTGTTCCCTACCTCTAGCCCAGTTTCAAGTCCTGCTTTCCCGAAAAGTGTGTCATAACGTTTGAGCAGGTCGATGAAAAATGATTTGTTGGGGAAGCCTAAGCTATTTATTTCTGAAGGCTTGGGCAAGGCATCAAGGTGATGCCTATATTGATTGAACCCCAATAAGGGAACGTGGATGGAAAGTTAACAACTGCATAGCAACTACTCAGTTGGCTGAGTTTACATAGAATAGAATGTTTTATTTTACATATTATTTGAGGGTTACAATGAAGGTTTTTTTGTGTTTTACGGATAGAAGGGAAAGAAGATTTGAAAAAGGCTGCTTTTTGACTAGAAACAAAATAATTATCACTCATCCCAAACTGTGAACAGATCGCCTAGTACTGTATGTTTATAGATTGTTTGAAAACACTCTGATTCACTTTGTATTTTGTCAAAATTAACTGTTTTTCTACAGAAAATTTGGATGCAATGATAGCTGTGCAGACAAAGACAAAGCTTCGTAAAGGCAAGGCTTATCCTATGAGTAAGGAAGCAGCAGGTAACATTCAAATCTAAATGTACGTTTTTTAAAAGAATTGAAACAAGTATATTGTCTCACAGGAGTATAACTTCTGTACAAATAGCATGTTTTACTCTAAACTAAGGACTGATTTTTTTTCTTTTGCAGATCAGAGCGAAGACGTAGACAGCACTAAGAGTGATTTTGGCAAGCCGCAGGAAGAGTCTGCAATTTCTGAGGATTCCACAAAAGAAGTAGAAAAAACAGAAAATTCTAAAGGTGCAAATTTTCCTTTTACCTCGAGCTGACATTCTCTTCACAGGGACTGAATAAATGAGATCAACCATCCTTATGCCTATTAAAATCCTCAATAGGGAAACTGTTCACAGGAGGTTGCAAGCAGCTAATGTCATAGAAATTTGCTGAGACTAAGATGTTAGAGTTTTCAATTATGAAACATATATATACAAAAACTCTAATTTCCCTGGACATTAAAGGGCTGAAATAAAAAAAAAATCCTAAAAATACAAAGATCAGTCAGCATCAGAACTAGGGCAGATGATCTCTATTTAAAATATCAGCTAATTCATAACGGGTTGTGCTTTTCCAGCATTTTTTAAGATTTCTGCTTGTCTGTGCGATGTTATCACAATTATGGAGCTATTTCCTAAGGGCTCACTTGACTTTTTTTTTTTTTACAGAAAACAATATATTTCAAAACAATGCATGCACAAAAAAATCATTATTTAAGCATAGCCATTTATTGCCAATGTTTGTCAAGTGTGTTTCTAATCATAAGAAGAGTGAAGATGAACATTCACTAATAACAGATTGTGGAAAAATGGTTGTGTTTCAAATGATGATAATAGGTTTTCTTGTAACAGCTTTTAATATAAATTAACACCCCCACCATACTCATTTGAGGCTGCTGTTTTTGTATGGCTACTGTACATAAATTAACAAGCATAAATGTTCATTTCCATCTTGACTTGGAATTCTCCTTATGGCAAATCCAAGTCCCAGTCCTGTTAGCTGCACTCCGTATAATCCCCTGGTGTTTACCAGCTGTTCATTGAACAAAATCTGTTCTATTACAGTAACTGGAAGGTCACTGCAATTGTTCAGGAAATCTTTGAGGACAAAATGACATTCCCAGCATACAGCATAGGAAGCACATTATACATAGAAAAAGGTGGAACAGAGCATTCCAGCACTGATTAATGTAATCAGGCAGGAAAATTTTAAGTGTAGCTGGAATCACGATGTTAAAGGTAATTTGTTAATCTTACGCCAGCAGTCTGTTAGGACATTGCTGTTTTACATTACATAGTTAATCTCACTGAATATTAATCTCTTCTGAAATCAAAATAGAAAATTTGGTTCTGTGTTTTAATGCATCCATTCGTGACTCATTTCACTGTTAAATGATGCCAGAGTTGGGTCCCTTGTTTTTCATTGCTGTCCAGTGTGTTACAAAGTTAAAAGTAAAAGAACTGTGGATGCTGGAAATCAGAAACAAAAAAGAAATTGCTGTAAAAACTCAGCACGTCTGGCAGCCTTTGTGGAGAGAAAACAGAGTTAACATTTCGAGTACAATTACACTTCTTCTGAACTATGACACTTTCATTTCTGAGGAAGGATCACTGAACTTGAAATGTTAACTCTAACTTCTCACCACAGATGCTGCTAAACCTGCTGAGTTTTTACAGCAATTTCTGTTTTTATTACAAAGTAAGATCATCTCAGTCTTCATCCAGCAAGTGAAAATTTTTTTTTAAAAATTGTACATACAGGTATGTAGTATAAAACTGCAAATACTAGTTATCAATCCAGTGGTTTTCCTTTGCACATATAAAGTGTTTGTGGCATTATATGGATGTATGGCTAATCGACTCATTCAGGGATGTTATTACAGTTTGCTTAGTGACTATTTATGAACAGTTCTGACATTCAAGAATGGCATTCAACAAAGATTACTAAAATATAGTTGAAATGAAACTTGTTGCACTGAATTCCATTTCGCCATTAGTTCAAGCCCAGTATTACATTCTGTCTCAACCAACGCAGCATTTCTTGTGCTTGGTAAATAGGTAAAAGAACAGCTGAAGAAGCAGTCCCACTTATACTGTTTGCACAACATGTAGTGTTTGCAATGTATTGTTTTATATAAACTGCATCATGAGATTTTACAAACACACAAACCATTTACTTTTAAGCATGAGTCACAGCTCATAGTTCTCATTACTCAGCAACAATGGCTCTTTTTTCCCTCGGTCAACAGATTTTGACAAAACTGAATCTTATCTATCAGCAATCAGAAAGAATATCGAATGGTTGAAGAATCACAATAAGCAAGGAAATGGAGAAGGTATGTTTGATAGTCTTGAATAACAAATGCACTTTCAGTGGTAAAGACGAAAAACACCCAATGTCTAATTTAAAAGGGAAAGAGCTTGTGTGGTTTAAGACTGAGAGTAACTTACATTTTTTTTTAAAAATAACACATTGATGGAAAGAATTCCATTTTATTATGTTTAAACCTAAATATGGAAAGATAGATTCGCAACTGATCTTTTGCTGGATGTGATGTACTGGGCATATAATGAAATTTCATTTTTGATTAGTTCTGAGCTATCAGAGGGAAGGCAATGTCCTAGTGATATTATTGTCAGTCTATTAATCTAAAGATCCAGGAACTGTTCTGGAGACCTGTGTTCAAATTCTGCTATGGCAGGCAATGGAATTTGAATTGAATAAAAAAATCCTAGAATTAAGCATCTAATGATGATCATGACACCATTGTTAGTTGATGAAAAACCCATGAATTGCTAATGTCCTTTAGGGAAGGAAATCTGCCATCCTTACTTGGTCTGGCCTACTTTATCTCCAGACCCACAGCAATGTGGTTGACTCTTAACTGTCCTCTGGGCAGTTAGGGATGGGCAATAAATATTGGCCTAGCCAGCAATGCCACATTCCGTGAATGAATGAAAAGAGCATCATACTCACATTCAAGTACAATAGGATTAATTCTTTCAGTTTAACCACACTCCACAAAGTAAATCTTGCAAATATAAAAAGTGAAAGAATTCCACTCTATCGAAGAAACTTCTAACCATAATTTGCATGGCCCCTTTTAATGTGTTCTAATTGAGGGCCAACTTTAGTTATTTTGAAATAACTTTAAAGATTAGTTACATTTCATAGTTAAATTTCACATATGTCAGCCAACATATCAATAAGGTAGCTGTTTAAGGTAAGCCACAGCTGATTTGCAATTATTTGGATCCAACTATTGAGAATGCAAATTTTTTTTATTCTTTCATGGGCGTTGCTGGCTAGGCCAGTATTTATTGCCCATCCCTAATTGCACAGAGGGCAGTTAAGAGTCAACCACGCTGCTGTAGGTCTGCAGTCACACAGGCTGGACTGGGAAAGGATGGAAGATTTCTTTCACTAAAGGGCAGTTGGACTTCTATAACAATGGTTACTTGTTATTAGGCTAGCTTTTAATTCCAGAGCTTTACTGAATTTGAATTTCACCAGATTTAAACTCATCCCCAGAACATCACCCTGGGGCTTTGGATTACTGTTCCAGTGTCATCACCACTATGCCACTGCCTCCCCAAATGAGAACATTTACAAACATTTCTTCACAAGGGTGTGTATTAATTAACATCTTCTCAAGACCTATGTATTCTCCATCTAGACCCGGGGTCAGCAACCTTAATAACAAAAGGAATCCTTTTTGACTTAAAAAAGGCTATCTTGAGCCATAATTTTGTTACTCAATTGTCAATAATAATGAAAGACAGACACATTTCAACAACACTATTTTTCTTAGCAAAAACATTGTTAATTGATTAGAACTTTTATCAATATTATACTTATGATTAACTGCATGTTACCACTGACCAGAAACGTAACTGAACAAACCACTTAAATACGGTGGCTACAAAGCAAGTCAGAGGCTAGGAACTGTGTCGATTAACTCACTTTCTGACATCCCAAAGCCTCCCAACAGTGTGATAGAATACTCTCCATTTGCTTGCACTTGAATGCAAGTCGAACAGCATACAAGAAGCTTGATACAAATCTAGAAAAAAAGCAGTTCGCCTGACTGGCAGCCCATCACTACTCAAGCAATGATAGCACTGTGTACCATCTACAAGATGCACTGTGGCAAGTCCTATAACAGTCCTATAACATCATCTTCCAAACTTGCTGGCTTGACTGCTTAGGAGGCTAAGGACAGCAGACAACATGGGAGCACTGCCGCACTCCAAGTCATACAATATTTTGACTTAGAATTAACTTGCTTCTCCTTCACTGCCACAGGGTTAAAATCCTGGAAGTCATTCCCAAACAGCACTTTTGCTGTATCTACACCACATGGGCTGCAGCATTTCAAGAAGGTTGCTCACTGCTACCATCTCAAGGGCAGTTAGGGATGGCCAATAAATAGCTAGTGATGCCCACATTCCATCATGAACAACTAAAAGAAAACCAAAATAAGTCATTTAATTAACATCAAAACAGGTTCAAGCAATCAAAGTCATGGGCTGCAAAAGCAACTTTGAAGCCATAGGTTGTAGATTCCTGATCTAGACCATTGTCTGAACATACAGCTGAAATGAGTGTTATATAATTTGTTATAGAATATGACCTTCAGAAGCTGCGTGACGTCATCGATCAACAAGTTGACACCTATGTCCAGAAAGGGATCCTGGAGAAGGGTGAAGGAGATGTAATCAAACGTATTTACAAAAGCCTGTGACATTCTCTAATACAAGAGGGAAGCGTCCTGATTGTCAGATCCTTCAACAATGACCGGCAATGCAACTTTTCTTAATTCTAGTTCATATTAGGCTGTGTATAATAGATTTTTTTTCTTGGCTGTTCTGCAACATCAAGCAGATTCTAAATCAGAATAGGGGAATAGAGAGTCAATAGAAATCATAGACAAATAGGGATGATTCTATGGCGCTAGTGGAGAAACTATGTTGTTAGGCGGGGAAGGTTAGAAATAATGCTACATAGACCGTTTCCTCAATGCTGCTCCCTGCTGGAAGCACAGATCCCTGACATCACCTGAGCTGACTTCTCTTTCCCCATTTCAGAATAGAGACTGCTGAATGTGCAAATATGGCCATTGCACGCGATGAAGCTTTCAAATCTTAAACGTCCATTTTCAACATGAGGGACTGCAGCAGCAATTAGAGCTTAATTACACCAAATCAAGTGTAAGGTTTACTGACAATCTTTAAAGAAATGTCCACAGCCTCTGATGCATGTCCAGATTGGTCTAATTATCACATAATTGCAAGCCCTAGTTGATTTACAAAAAAGTCAATTTATGCATTCTAGGTTTCCTTTCAAATTCATTTTGGACTCAAAATCCCTGAAAACAATCACTTGCAATGGCAATTTATCTGGCTAAACTTTAAATCACACCTTCAAGAAAGCTCCTTTTAATGTTAGTTTTAATTTTGTTCAACTTTAGTTAATGGCAGTAGATTTATGAAATGTACAAAGGTTTGCTGCAAGTGGTTTTAATTCTTGAAAGGCTCCAAATTTGTTTTACTCTTTCTGTTCAATGCATTGCAATGGTTTGTACAGAATAGCTTGGTTAGTGTATATTAGTTCAGAAATCCATACTGGCTTTTTCTTCTGCCCAACAGGATGGTTACTAAAACAGATTTTGAGAGTAGCATGAGTGGAAACATTGCTCTGAACAGTAATTCTGCAAACGAATTATCATGTCCTTGTATTTCCATTGTTTAATTACAATAAATGGTCCTCTAAATAATGTGTTGAGAATCATAGGGTGGTCATGGCAGGGGGGGGTGGTTAGAAATACATAAAGTCCAGTAATGTATCACTTATCTGAATGAAAAATATTGCAGTTGATTACCGGAATGAGTTGCGTGCAAAATCTTGTGTCCTTTGTACAAGTAAATAGGAGCCACTTATGTGTTGTCAGTAAAGCTCAAAAAGTACTTTGTTCAAGTGTAAATATTTGTTAAATTTTCAAACTCGTGTAAAAAATATTAAACTGTTTTGAGTTTTCTTTACAAATTTAGTTAAATTATCCTGGAACAATACTGATCAGTGGTGGCACCTCAGCTGTTTACAATCTATACCAATAACTTGGATGAAAGGACTAAGTGTATGGTAGCCAAATTTGTTGATAACACCAAGAAAGGTAGGAAAGCGAGTTACCAAGAGGACAAACAGTGTACAGAGGGATTTAGATAGGTTAAGTGAATGGGCAGAAATGTTAAAAATGTGAACTTGTCCACTTTGGCATGAATAGAAAAGTAGCATGTCATTTAAATGAAAAGGGACTGCAGAACTCAGTGGTACAGAGAAAGCTTTGTGTCCTAGCATATGAATCACACAAGTTGGTATGTAAGTACAGCAAGTTATTTAGAAAGGAAATGTTGGCATTTTGTACAACAGGAATGATAGCATAAAAGTAGCAAAGTGTGGCTGCAGCTGTTATAGGGCTTCATCTGGATTGCATTTGGAGTACTCTGTACAATTCTGTTCACCTTATTTAAGGATGGATATAACTGCAAGAGAAGCTGTTCACCCAACTGATTCCTGAGATGAGGGAGATTTCTTATAAACTAATTTGAATAGGTTGGGCTAAATACCCGTCGGAATTTAGAACAATGAGAGGTAATCTTATTGAAACATGGAATATTCTGAGAGTTCTTGATAGGACAGGTGCTGGATGGAATGTGTCCCCTTGTTGGGGAGTCTAGAGCTCGGGGCACAGTTTAAAAATTAGGGGATTCCTATTTAAGACTGATAAGGACAATTTCCTTTCCCGCCAGAGGGTCAATAGTCTGACTCTTTGGCAGAAAGCAGTGGAGGCTGAATCATTGAATACATTCAAGATTGAGCTGAGATCAATTTTTGTTTGTCAAGGGTCATGGAGGGCAGACAGAAAGCTGGAGTGGAGGCCACAATCAATCACGATTTTATCAAATAGGAGAGCAGGCTTCAATGGCAAAGTAGCTTACTGCAGTCCTTCTCATGTTCTTGCATTTGTAATTCTTTGTCCACTTGAAACAAATTCCCCTGTTCAAACAAGTCTAAGAAGTTGAAGAAGTCCCCAAAACACTAATGATCTAGATTTGTTTTCATAACTGTCAACTAATATGCAATCATATTACATAACACAACAGTAACAACTTAACTGTAGCAATTCATTGGAAAATCCCGACTGGAGACATGTTTATCCAGCCTTCCATTTTTGCAGTTTGTAAAAGCCTACAAATTAAATAAGCATGATCTGCCTCAATCCAGTTCTAAGTGGGTGCAAGTCAACAAGTACAAAGTTATCATCAATCGAATCCTAAATGGTGGGTTTACTCGGCTGAGTTTAACAGATAACCTAGTGGTAAATTAATAATATGCCTATGGGGTGCATTACAAATGTTCTTGGAAAAGTTAACACTAAAGCACATTATCACTACAATCAAAGAGGGCGATTTTCTTTGCATCTATTAGAACCAACCAGGGAGTGTATGACTTATTGGATATTCAAAATAAGTTTCTATTCCCATATCACGATTCTCTCTCTGGAATCAAGCAGTATTCTTCTGATTGACTAAATGAGATTTTTAATTAGAACCTGAGAGCAAACTGCAAGTGCCCAACTCCACACAAACTGTTTTAAAGAAATGTTTGAAAGGAACTGCATTCACAATAGGATTTCTTTGAAGTGTAACATGTTAACTAAAAACAATACGATATAGATTGGCCATTTTAAAAAATGTCCTTAGATATTACTTACGAGCTATAGATGTGATAGAGGTTAATGGAGGAATCCACAGCTCTATTACAATTACTTGAAGCCACAACATAAAAGTTACTTCTTTTTAAATTGTTTGTTCATACCAGATCTTGGAGCATCATCTCCCCCTCAATCAAATGAGCAGCTTCCAATTGAGTGAATAAGACAGTGTTGTGGAAAAAAAAGTGAGGAAATTATCCTGTCAGAAAACACCCACGATGCAAACAGCTTTTTGTACAACTAAGACAGCCTCTGCAACAATGAAATCTGCAGAGAAACATGCCCCAATAAAGATTTAGTATTGAGCACACATTCAAATCAGGAATATTAGATGGAATAAACAAAAATTGAGGCAATGTCATGCCACCAATCAAAGAAATTCAGTAAGAATACAAATATTTAGGAATTTATTGGACTTGATCAGAGGGAGAATAAAGGCAGAAACTTGGGCATGCATGTAGGGTGGAAGATTGGAGGCCAGCTAGAACTGCATTGGAATAGTCAAGTCCAGAAGTAACAGAGACACAAATTGGAGTTTCAGGAAGATGCCATTTATGACTTCAAAAAAGGCTGTTTCAGTTGTCTGGCAGGGACAAACATGATTAGAAGGATACAAATATGAAATTTCAGGAAAGACAGATACAGATTTGAGGTAAAACTATGAGAATGAACATCATTTTCTTCATCCATGTACCACGATGAATATTTTTAAAAAGTATTCTTCCTCTTGAAACCCTTCTGTTTATCTTTCTTTCAAAGCATTCATTTTGCTAACACTTAGCAGAACTGCTTAGAGAGTGTCTTATTTAATCCAAACATTAATCCAAACATTCCCCATAAATTGAGCATAATGAAAGTTAGAACCATGAACAAGTTCATAATCACTGCTCGTGGCTGAATTAGGTCATCACAATCCTGGCTTCAGAATTTGTCCAAGTTCACCAGATCAAAATCCTGGAACTCCCTCCCTTCCAGCACAGTGGGTCTACCTGGGGTACATGGGCTGCAGTGGTTGAAAAGGACAACTAGTCACCACTTTCTCAGGAGCAACTAGGGACTGGCAATAAATACCAGCCCAACAGTGACACCCACATCCCATGACTGAATAAAAAAATTCCTCAAAGGAGATTAATACCATTTCTTGCACTTAACCTAAAAAATTTTTTTCATCTCTGAAAACAATATTGAATGGGACACTTCAGCTGAACATATAGCTTTAAAAAGTGGGAAGACTATCTTCAGATAGGTAACACTGTGGCCCTAATCCAAATGGTTAAAAAACAAACAATTTTATATTCAGAATTCTCATGCTAGTTGCACTGTACTTTGTAAAATAAGGGAGCTTAGAACTCAATTTTAGCCTTTAAATATGCTAATAAATTAAAGTTAGTCAAACAGAATATCTTTAAAATGTGCATTCATATTCCTTTTACACAAAAGGACACAGACATATAATTTTTTAGTAATAGTCAACATACTTTCCTCAAAAGATAGCAAAACTTCAACACTTGTCCACATTTTTCTTAAAAATTAAATGTACATTTTAGCAACCAGTTGATAACGGGCTAGATATTTTACTTTTACAAACAGGTGCAAAACTCTTACTACATTATGTACATTACATGTACCCTTCCCTAATTTGCAAAGATGTTTGTATCTATGAAGAGCAAAATAGCACGTTACAAGTGGGAAAATTACAATAAATATTCAATTCTTCACAGGAAAAATATAAGCAACACACCTCGTCAGACTGAAGTTTAACAAAATCCATTTATTGCAGATCATCAAATGAAATATTAACAAGTGTTCAATGCCAGTACATTTAAAAAAAAATTTAAGGCCACAACATTGAAACACAAACAATTCATGCGCTAAAAAGTTCACTGCATCAGTTACTCCACTTGACTCTTCAGAATGAAGTCACAGATCTCCACATGTTCAGAATCATCATCTGTAAATGTATTCTTCCAAATCATATTTGTTCAAATTAGTTTCTGAAGCAAAACAATCTTCAGCGAATTTATGAACAGTCAGAGAAGGCAAGAAAAACAAAAAAAAATTAATACACTTTTAATAGCATAATATTTTCACAGAAATAAAAGGCATTTTGGATTTCTTTTCCATATATCCTCCCTCAAAAATTGAACATAAACAAATAAGATCATTACAGTTCTAAACCAGTTTAGTTTTGCAACAGTGCAGATTTTCAGACGCTCAAACATTTTTTTCAATCTTCCTTGATGTTAATTCTGGAGTTGAAAAACAACTGAACGTATTACGATGAAAATCAAACATTTCACCTGCCATTCACAAAAGAAAAGAGGCTGAGACTTGGGGAAATTAATATTTAAGAATCCACAGAGGAGGTATATTGTAAATTCTTCAATTTCATAACATGCGATTGTATTAATGATAGGCTCTTGAGAGTATGTTTAAAATAACCATCAGTAATCTTACAATATTGTGGCATTACGTTGTTAAAAATCATGGAAAGTCAGAATCTTTGGACAAAGATTGTTTTCAGATAAAATTATTAGTTAAAATGATATTTTAATACTGAATTTAAAAAATCTTTAACAGCGAGAGAAGTCCAGCAATTGGATACCTATAATAATTTCAAATCCAGCCCCTGAATTTGCCTGCTTAAATATCCTTAACAGTATATTTATAAATACAAAAGATCTTTATTTGGAAAAGTAAAATAGGATTTATCATAACCGAAAACACACAAAGGATATGTTTAAGAACCTGAATATCAAGGGAAAAAAAAACTTGTGACAAATAACAGTTTTGATGTGCAATGCTATCACATGAAAATACAATAACTCAAATCAAAAATCTCGGCAAAATTTTGTGTACAATAGGTACTCGATATACTTTCCTGTTGCTGATTAATAGCCCCACTGAAATGTCAACTTCACTTCCTCAGATAATCAATCCATTTGGACATTTCCAAAACCTTTTGTTTTAATTTGACTTCCAGCATTTACAGGTTTTCTTTTTGTTTCTATTTTCTATTGAGTATTTTACACATTCCTCACTAACTATACTTGTCAAAGATAAAATGTCAAAGATAAACTGCCTCCCTTTTATGGCTCACAGCAGTGAAATAGATATCACTAGGGAAAGAGTTTTACATATGAAAGGCAAACTGAAGTACTCTGGATATTCCTCACACAATATGTGCCATTTTCCCATTTTAATGTTTGAACTGTCATCAAAATATTGTCTAATATTTATGTATAAACGATACAAAACAAATATTCTGGACTGAAATTACCACAGCAAGGATCTGACTGAATCCTTGTCACTACTAAGTAATGCCTCCCACTCTGCATTCAGCAGTGACTAGAAATCTCATGTAGCGAATAGCACAGCAAACAGCTCTACCACGGAAAATGTCCAATCAATCAGAGTGAACAAACTGGGTGTGAAGGGACCTTAGCAAATATTCCCAGTTGTTCACAGCTTGGTGACAATCACCAGTACTCTTTGTAGATTGCCTATCCTTAAAACTAGTTTCCATTGTGCCTCTATTGTGCAGCTGCTTTGTTTGAAATCTAAGACCTGAACATTTCTCCCTTTTCTTAGCACATGTTGAGGTAACTATCTTTTGTTTTAAAATAGACTGCTCTCATGATAAAACAAGGGAAATAAAGTTAAATGCAGACTGCAGCTAAGAGGAGACTTAAACCTGGATTATGAGGTGATATCATTACAATTTTTTTGGTGTCATTTCAGTGGTGTGAATGCAGGAGCTCTATCACAGCATCTCACCATTTGCAGTGATAATGTGAAGAGCGTGCAAAAACTGACCTTTACTTTCCTTATTAATTGTCATAAGTAAGTTACCTTATAAAACAAGCACCAACTAGTTGCACTAGTTAAAAAAGGCAACTAGAAATTAGGTGAATCAGGAAAAAGGAAATAATAATAGCTTATGTGGGGATGAGCTTTAAAAAGGGATATTGTAGTTTTGTAACTGCTTATAAAGGTGTAACTGTAAATTAAGGAATCACTGAGTAATCCATCACAAATACGTGGCTAATCTTCATTGCACATTGCCACAATCTGCTCCAGGGAAACAACTGTACTCAATCTCTTTGGTACAACCAGATTCTGAACAGATATTACGAAGTTTGAGAAAGTGTTGCTTACATTATTTAATCCACTTTTCAATTCAGACATCAAAATATATAAAACTAGTCATCCATATCATTTTAGTGGCTGCACAATCCCATTATTTAAAAAAAAATGTATCTGCAATAGGATTTAGTACTCAGGAGCTGAACGAGTTGGTTAATTGAAATGTAAGACATGCCATTCAGTATTTTTCTGTTGCGATATACTGTATTCTTCTGGTGCCAATTGGTCGTCACAGCTTTGGTGATACAGTCTAAAGCCAGGTCACTACACAGGAACAAAGAAAACCGTGTGCTTTCCTTCCTCCTCACCTCAAATGAAGAATAGTTCCTTAACCAGTGCAACAAACTCATTTTCAGTGATAAAAATATATGCATGAGCATGGAAACAGAAGGAAGACCGGGGCACAGCAGACAGTACTGATGAATCAGAGTATGAAGCTTATGGGAAACCTGATTTTCTGGGGAGACGTTAAACTCGTCCACACCAGTTTGACATTCAGTCTTGTGAATTGGAGTGATCAAAAATTGCAGCCACCTGAGAGAATTCGAACAAACAGCTGCATTGCTCACAAAATACCGAAATGGTGGTACAAATCAACAACGTGAAATCATATCATTCTCACCACTGCAGTGATAAGACTAATTATTTACCCCTAATAACTCCCTACCTTTAACGTAAGTTTCCTTTATTCAATCAACCAGCTCCTTATTCAAGATGGCCACAATTCTCCTCTAATGGAAGGTATCGGTTCTATGGTTTATGATTTTGCCCATGCAATACCTTAACAGTGCAATAAGCTAGCTGCATTGATAAAACACTTCTAGTTATGTTTAGACTGACCACTTTGAAAGCAAATGCTTTAATGGGGCTTAGTGTGACATCTGTCCCTGCATACTAGGATTCTTCTTTCCAATAACAATGTTGTTAGACTTTTTAAAAGGATGACGTCCTGCGATTATCCTACTATCTTCATCCTAAATTGAGACTGTTACTTAGAACGACAGGTATTGTAAATTACCTTTGGTTTTAAATTGGATATTATGAACAAGTGACCTCTTCAACACAGCTATTATGTGTAAAACTACTCTGCATAATCATACATGAACGGGACTTCCACATAATTAGTTAGATGTGCGATCAGTCTCCATTCAGTCTCACTTTGTACAAAATCATAAGCCAAGGTCATATTTAGTTTGAATTTAATTAATTTCTGCAGAGCTCAGTCTCCAAGCAATTATACTTACCTCTGCCCAAACCCACTCGAGTGCCAAACAGTAGGAAAGCACAACAATTAATTCATGCAAGGTGTAGAAGGGACGACAGAGTTGCAATTGCTTTACACCTAATTTCAGTCCCATATCACAGCAGGTCCTCTGGATCAGGACTGCAACAAATAAGCACACACTGCTGTTGCAATATAGAAAAGGGGGAGAAAGCACAAGGTAACACAAAATTAACAGCGGCTCACACTGCACACTGAAGATGTTCAAGGTAAAATGCTGCCTTTCCCTTTTACCATATTCCAGTGCTCTGCTAAGGTATATAATTCCGTCGCATAGATTTTAAGCAAAAGGTAAAGCGAATTCCCCCTCCTCCAGAAACCTACAGATCACACAGTTTGTGCCAATGAAGTCAAAGTCTCCAACTCCGAAAACTTATGTGGAACAACATTGTATCACTTGCCGTCCAGTTGGTCTGGATTCTGTTCTGTATTTAGTGGTGACTCTGGTACGAGGATTCTGCATAAGAATAATCTTTGTACGTCGCATCACCAGTTCTGTTGAAAGTAAAGAACTTAATTATTACATCACAGAGATTCATAAATTGTTCTCCTTAAAATTTTAAAAATGATCTTTTATTTTTATATTTCTCTTCAAATATCTCACTGTCATGACCCCAGCCTTTGCTAATAGTGGTCAAGCTAGATCCCAGAGTGAAACATGGCTTGACGGATCATAAGTTGTATTTTTGCAGTTTGGTTACTGGGTGGTCAGTCAGTGAACATATTTACATGGGACAGCCAATGTTCTTTTAACACAAGAACACAAGTTTTTTTTACGCAAAAATAAAGAAAAAATGTAGATTATGGTACAATTTAGAAAGCCTTTAATATAAGCAAATTCAACCCTTTTCCAACCATATAGGAGGATGTGGTGGCATCGTGGTAATGTTGCTGGACCAGTGATTCAGAACACTAAAGTTCCAGGGACATAGGCTTGAATCACACCATGGCAGATGACAAAATTTGAATTCCATAAAAATCTGGTACCAAATTCAAGCTAGCAGCAAACATATGACCACTATCAATTATCATTAAAACCCACCTGGTTCACCAACGTCTCTCAGGGAGTGAAATCTGTCATTCTTACCTTGTCTGATTTATGTGACCACAGACTCTCAGCAATGTGGTTTAATTTTAACTGTCTTCTGGGCAATAAATGCTAGTTCAGTCTGCAATGCTCACATCCCATGAATAAATAATAAAAAAATCCTTTACAGTCACTCAATCCCAGTGAAATATCACTCCTAGCTGAGTGCCTTAATTTCTTACTCAAATTACTCTTTTCCAGCCAGTTTCTTTGGATCGCTGAAGCACTTAAGACTTACTTCTGATGGCCTGGATTCTTCTTTCCAACACACTCCGCCTGGAGACTTCCACAAACAAAGAAAACACACTTCTTTTAGGATATGTCCTCCTTTTCTCAACTCAGCCTACTAGTGGCCCATGATCATCTGCTTCTGTATCATAAAACCTTGTAAACATTCAGCAATTAACTCCCCAGTAAGCTGACTGAGTCATTTACCTTAAGTCGCACGCTTTCTTGGAAAAGCTGTCTTTAGTTCACTGCTCAGAATTACTTTCTGACCTTTTGTGAAAATGACCTTTTTACAACGACTCAAGACTACAATCTAATTTTCCTCCACTTTTGAATCCAAGTTCAGAAATAATACATCACAGCTTTGTTTCTGAACAGTGTAAATCAAGAAATAAAAATCAAGTGCTGGAGAATCTCAGCAACTGAAGCAGCCCATGTCCAAATGCTGTAGGACCTGCACAATACCCATGCTTGGGCTGGCAAGTGGAAAGTAACACTATGCTATATAAAATTAAGGCAGTGACTGCAACAAAGGGAATTCAACTATCATTCCCTGACATTTTATGGTGTTACCATCACTGAATCCCCCACAATTAACATCCTGAAGGTTACCACTGACGAGAAACTGAACTGGACTCGTATAAAAACAACAGCTACAGGTCAGACATTAGGTGTCCAGCAGCGAGTAACTCATATCCTGACTCCCCAAAACCTGTTCACCATCTACATGGCACATGTCAGGAGTGTGACGGAATACTCTCCACACTTGCCTGGATGGATGCAGCTCCAACAACACTCAAGAAGCTTGACATCATTCAGGCCAAAGCAGCCTGCTTCAATGGTACCACATTAAAAAACATTCACTCCTTCCACCCTCAACACTGAGTAGCAGCAGTGTTTCCCATCTACAAGATGCACTTCAGAAATTCACCAAAGCTCCTTAAACAGCACCTTCCAAACCCACAAGCACTTCCATATAGAAGGCCAAGGGCAGCAGATAAGTGGAACACCACCATCACCTACATACTTCCCTCCAAGCAAGTCATCATCCTGACTTGGAAATACAATGCTGCTCCTTCAGTGTCATTGGGTCAAAATCCTGGAACTCCCTCCTTAATGGCATCGTGGACTACCTATAGCACGCAGACTGCAGCAGTTCATTACTTTTTCAAGGGAAACTCGAGATTAGCAATAAAACACTGGCCCGGCCAGTGACACTCTCATTCTATGAGTAAATTTAAAAATAAGTCTGATAGCATCTGTGGAGACAGAAACAGGGGCAACATTTTGAGTTCAAAATGACTTTGGTTCTGTACATTTCAGATACAGCCATTGCTACTTAGATAAATGCAGCAAGCAACTAAAACACATTTTAACAGTACATGAAATGAATGAACATATCATTTGTTCTTAGTTTGTTACCTTATTTGAGAAAGGAATGGCATTCAGTTAATGGGAGAACTTCCCATTCTTCAAATAGTGTCATGGAAATAGATGTCTGATTGGAAAGGATATGTCCAACAACGCAGCACTCCTTCAGCTGAGCTTATGCTCTTAAATCTGCCGTGTCAGCTTGCAGCTACGCCTTTCTGACACAATAGTGGGCATTAACAACTAAGCTAATCTGCAACATGAGCCATGTTGATATGCAGTAAAAACTCTTTAAAAGTTCCAGAATTAACGAATCATACCAAATGGCAGATAGCTGCAGATCACAGATTAAAATTGTGGTAAATTTTATTCTTTGGGTGGTACAGTGAGAACACTATCCAGAGAAAATGCGGTTATCTCTGTCTGTTCCCTTAAGTTCAAAATTTAAGTCACGTCTCATGGGAAGCACTGCACAGAGCCTAGGGGGAAAGGGGGCTGAAATTTCTACAATCAACACTTTTAGTGCTAACTTGGCATGAGTATAGAATAGAAAATTCTACTCATCAGGCCATGAAAACGCTACAGTAATCACAAACTATTCAAATGTATAAAGGACCACCTCTTTAGACATTTAATCTGCTACAGATAATGATTTAGATTCCTGTAATGGTTTGACATTGAAGATAGAATGGATCATCAGGAGGAAGGAAACAGCAGCTTAAAATTGGCATAAGCAAGAAAGGGAAAATGCAGTTGTAATAAATGTCTTTTGCAGACTCTTGGAAGCAGCATGTGTCAGAGCTGTAGGAATTTTGAAAGTGATCATGAGTAGAAATGTAATCACTCATGACAGAACAGAGAAAATGAGGAACAAACACTAAACTTACAAACTAATCAGAATACTGTTTTTGACCAATACTCATTAAATGTAAAAACTTTTTTGCTTCAGCACAATGTGCTAGCAAGTTCTCACAGGCCAGAAGCGTGATTGCCCGTATAACTTCACTGGTGGACAAATATTACCCTCTCATACACAAGGTGTCAATTCTGGTATATAAATACTTTTGTTGGAAGTAATCAAGACCAATGAATGAACACAACCCACCTTTAATTAATTGTATGTTGATTGGATCCTCACGTGCATTATGTAACAGTAAATTAAATAGTAATTGATTTCATACAGACTTAGACAATGTCCCATGTCCAGAGGTGAGAGAGACAGGCCAAGTAGCATGTTTGTCCTGGTACAGGTCACTAAACTCAACCAGAACTTATAGCCAGCATGGCCAACAAGGAGATTCCCCACTCTTACTGCCTGGGACATAATAGAGGATTTACAGGTTGACAGTCAACCTGTTTGGCCATATTATGAACACACCCTTCTTTTGGTCATCAAGTCCTGAAGTGAAACTCAAAGTCAGAGCTTCTGGTTCAGATGTAGGGATGCTAACCACAGTGTTTTCATACGTTACGGGTGAATTTGAATTTGCAGGGGCTGTTTGTGGGAAAAATATCCTTGGCAATGGTAATTAGCCATTGCCCAAGAAAGACCAAAGGCACCATTAAAAAAAGTCACAGATTACATAATCGCGTGAAGGGCAATACTCCCCAAGTGTGCTGAAAGACTATGAAGTGATAAACAGCATCACTTTCTAAGATGTGACAACGCAATCAAACAGACAATGGCAGTACAGCCTCTTATTTTGTGAGCAAATGAAAAGCTTTAGGTCCAAAAAAATTAGGATCTTACTCAGATTCATACAGCATAAAAGGAAAAGTCCAGCCTCATACCTTTCAACATGTAGGAGGCTCTCACTCCCTCATTCCCATCCATCAACCACAGATCCACAGTTCTACTCCCACCATGGCGGGTCTTTGCAGTGGTTGCGAGCAGAGGCCCTTAAATGACCACTTAAGGGCCTTAATTGCTGGAGAATCAAAGCAGTGCCAATGGCAAAAGGGGCCTATAGTCCAGAAGATCTAGGTTCAGGACACCCTGTCCTGGAGGTGCTTTATAGCATGACTGAACAATTTGATTAAAAAAAAACCCAATGAACATTTTTGTCCAACATATAATTGGTGAGGAAGCAAGTCAGCTCCAGAGAGAAACCGTCCCTCTTATCACCACCTCTAGGGAGGAGGAAAGTTTCACTTTTTTTAAAAAAAAAGTTTTACCACATCCATCTGTTGTTCACTTCCTTAATGCAGTAAAACATTTCAAGGTGGTTCACTGGGGCCCAATCCATCAAAACTTGACAGGGAGTCAAACGAGGAGACATTAGGACAGATGACAGAGGTGGATTTAAGAAAAATCTTATAGAAAAGGAATTCCAGAGCTTAGGCCTAAATGGTTGGAGGAACACAGTTCTCAGAGCTATATAGCAGAAGAAAGTTATACATATGGGAAAAAGAAAATTGAACATACAGATAGCATTCCTCCTATTCCAAGTAAACCGAACTGAGAAGATCTTATGCTATTAGGCAGAGGAGATGCTACAAACATAATGAAAATTAGATTGTACAAAGTAGTTGGTGTTTCCCATAATGAAGTGTCTCCTGGAAATAACATCAAATCACGTTCTCCCTGAAGCATTTCAATTTCCAAGAAAAATGTTTTAAAAGTCACATCAGATAAAGCTCTCTAAAAGACTTGCATGTTAATAGCTAGTTTAGCTTCAAAGCCTTTTATACCCACAGCTCTGATTTAATTTAGCAGCGTGCTCATTCTAGCTAGGAATGAAAAGCACATGGCAAACTGAAAATCAATCTGACAAAAGGTTCACAATTTCCTTTGTTCAAGCAACTATGC